GGGGTGGGGGGGTGGTTGGGGGGGGGGGGGGGGGGGGGGGGGGGGGGAGGGGGGGAGAGAGAGAGAGAGAGAGAGAGAGAGAGAGAGAGAGAGAGAGACATAAAACATAGAGCACTGAATATGTTAAATAATAAAGCCTGCCTAGAGTTTTTTATTCTGTGATAGCATTAGAAATGCATTGAGGAAAACATTTGAAAAAATGTTTAGAATCTACTTTCTCAGTCCAAGATAAATTGTGGAAGTAACGATAAGTAGAAGCCAAATGCCTGGGGAAAAGGACGCTAATACTTTTCTCATCGATTTGGGTTTACTTATGTAATAACACTGTAGATAAACACTGTAATCCACCCATAATGTATTTATGGACCTGACTGCAGAGTGCTAAAGAAACCTAAGCTTTGTTCCCATTCCTATAAGGCTGCCAGTCTGTGAGCTAAAATCAAAGGAGGTTATGAATATCAAACAAAGCATTGATCTTGACTGAAGATCATGATGAGCTATTTTATTCTCATTACGCTTCAGCAGGAATAGGTCGCTGGCTTATTGCTGGAATAGAATCAAGCAAAAAAAAAGTGCTAACACTGGTGGAAGACAGGCCAGGGGCTTGTACATATCTGGCTCTGGTTTAATAGCTGCCAAGGAGGGAGAGGGAGAGGCTGCAGTATGGAATGTTGAAGATGATTCTAACAGGCATCCAAGCTTGAAAAGAGAGAAGCAAAGGGAACTTCACATTCTTTTTTCAGAGTTGAACAGAGGTCACCATCAAGCAAACTGAAGCCTCTCTCATCACCCGACTCTCTCGAGATGGGCTTGTATGTGTATGCACAAATGAAATAAAATAATGCTTGTGATCTCAAGAGATTGTACAAGTTCAATTTCCCAGCAAAAACATTGGGGAAGTTTCATCTCTTTCCTGACACCAGGAAATATTTGGCAGGCAGGGCTCCCAAGAAGTTTAGCAGAACTTTGGAGGGTGGTGGATCAGCTGATTGTGCTAGTAAACACTGAACCCTCCTGCTTTCTCCAGTTAACCCTCCCCTATTCCATTACCTGAACTGGAGCTGCTGTTTTTCTGCTTGGTGTTTTGCCGAGATTCTTTCATCCAGGGAAAGATTTGTTTGGACATGGTAGGTGAGTTCAGGATGGAGCTCTTTGTGGCATTGGAAGGGGTGCTGTTGGCAGTGGCATTTTGAGGTGGCGACACGGAGGGGGGAGGAGGAGGGGGCAGTGGTGGTGCCTGCTGGGTCGGAGGCTGTTGCTGGGGCTGTTCTGGTAGGGTTGGGGGCTGGAGAGACTGGCTGGGGATGGTCCTCATACAACTCTCGCTGATTTCATTGGCCTTGTGATGGGACACAGTGCTGTTGGTGCCGGCGGGAGACTGCAAAGAACATGCAGGTCGATGGTACTCAGTTTCCACCAGCCCAGAAGCAGAAGGTGGAGGATATTGCTGCTGACTAGCATTGTAAGCGAAACCATTTGCTCCTTGGTAGGGATAGCCTCCATAGATCGCAGAGCTGTCGTAGTAGGTCGCTTTTTGCATTTCGTTGTTTCCCAATATTTATTTCATAAACTGACAGGGTCTTGACACCCTTAAAGAATAACATTGGCACCACTCTGTCACATGACGTTTCTCCTCCAATGGCCTCTCCTTGTAGACCTAGGGTGTAGGGAAAGCACAGGAGAGTGGAGAAATAGTACAAATCCATCTTACTTTCAATAGCTAAGTGACATGAAAGCCATAACAGAAAAAGTGGTCAGCAATATTTAGCAGCATGACTTGGCCTGAAGGCGAAGAGAATTTCGGTAAGAGGAGGGGGGAGGGAGAAATAGAAAGAGATATGCAGAGATTTACTGGCAGCCCAGATTGTGTGGTTTACAGATCCAAGAGAAAGTAGAATTGGGTGATTTCTAATCACGCACACACTCACATCCACATGCAGGCTAGGAATTGCTTTATCTTTTCTCCCATAAAAAGGGCTCTGATCGATCATTGCAATAAATGGCCTCCAGATAAGAAAGAGGTTGGAGCAGATTGTTTTCCATAACGGATTTAAGACTATGAAGCGCTTCAAAGCACCACTTACGATTTCCTTTTGCTTTCCCTTTCGAGCAATATCATATTGTTTCCCTTATTTATTGAAAGAAAAAGAAAATCTTGCTGTACTTTACTTAAAGAGTTGGATACAATGCCCTTTAAAGAAAAATCAATACATGCATCTTCAAGGCTCACCACGAAGAGTGACTCAACAATCCAGCGCTGGAGGGGTTCGAACTCATGAAATGTTGGCTAGGAAACCAAAAGGTTTGATAAATGGAACCCATAATGACCCTCGTGTGATGAAACTGCACAGTGGCTGGGGATATCCCGAGCTTTCTCTGTTTAATAATCAGCCAACTTCCTGTGCATAAATTAGCTTTAACTGCTGCCAGTTTAGACAGGGACACAAATCTGGCCTCTATCATCCAATAGTCTCCACATGTAGCAAACATAACATTAGGAAATTATCTTCCAGTTAGCGCTCCTTTGTGGGAAGTTTCAGGCCTGTCCCTTTGGTTGGTTGTGTCCTTGCAGGATCCCGGTCTAATTATTTCGGGGTGTATCAAACATGACATTATTACTATTATGGTTGGTTGCGCAGTCAGATGTTTTGAATTATTATTTTCCCCTTTCCCTCCTTCATGAATATATTCACAAATATCTGGAAAAAGGCACACCCGATAGTGTCCATCTCCATGACCACAGCTTGAACCTTCCTCCTAACTCAACCATAATAGGTTCTGTCGCTGAGATTGCAGTGTCATTTGATGTATGGAGGTCATTTGGATGCAGACAGAGGAATGGGTGCACAAAACCACAAACACTCTTACAAACCAGGCAAATATTTTTTGTTCACTCAACATTGTTTACCTGTCTGAGCAGAATCAGCTAGAGAAGAGGTTGGGTGGGATTTCAGAGGACTCCTTATCTGCAATTGAAGAACTTTTTTACAGATCATCTGAACCGCCAGTTTAGAACCTATCATTTCCATGCCTTCTCTCCAAAGTCCTCATATTCACACAAACATTCCCAACTCAAGTTCCAGTCAAAACAATGGGCTGCCAGGGTATTTCGCTGGAGGGATATATTACACACTATCACCTCACAAGCATACTCAAATTAATTGCAGGAGTTTGCATTTCAGTTCACTCAAGTTTCTTTCAGAACAAGGTACACACGAGAGGCAGATTGATTTAAGAAACCTCTTACAGATGGGAGATTCCTTCGACAAAGGATAAAGCTATCTTCTTTTATTATTTGCTTGGTTTTAAAAACAACAATCACACCATTCAAAAATCATAATAAACAACCTGTATTGAAAAATATAGAAGATGAATTTCAGCTGTAGTTTGGGTTGGGTAGGAACTGGCTTCATCTGATTTGGGAGTAAATTTACTTTAAGCTCCAGGACTTTACTTTGAATTTGACTGGGGAGCTTGAACGTTTCTATCTGTTTTCAAACAAAACCCTTCTTAATTTCAGACTTCTAACACTTTTGCCTTTTTGTTGGGAAAGGTGGAAATGTTAGTTCATTTTTTGAATTAAGAAATGTGAAACAATAAGATTCTGCTTTTTCCTTTCTGCACTTTTCAGAAAGAACTCTTACAAGAGTTCTCCAAAGTCTCTTTTGCTTGTAAGTTGGGGGGGGGGGTGAGCAAAAGTGACTTTGGAGTGAGACGTTGTGTAGCCCCCTTCCTGTTTGTGGATAGTCAGTGCAAACAAAAAGCAGTTGACAACAATGTCCATAACAGAGGAAATGGCTTTTGTTTAAAGATTTTAAAAATAAATAAATACACAGGTTCACATGTTATATAGAATTGTTTCACTAAAAGTAAATGCTTGATTTAAGAGAATGAAAATATAGGAAAACCCAAAAAGCAGCCACTGAGGGAAACTTGTAGAAGCACTATTCCATGGCCAGAAAGTCTGTTTGCAAACCCAATGACTTCAAACACATACTTTCTAATACTTTCCAGTAATTACTTTCTAGCAATACTAGATTATTTTATCAACCTGTAGTCTGAAGCCTGGTTGTTGTTGTTGTTGTTGTTTATAGCATCTATCTGACACAAGTTTATTCCAAAAACTGTTCCCACTTGATTAAAAGGAACATACTTCTTGCACCCATTGCCAGGATGGCAATCTTACAGCTCAATCCTATTCCTGTTCAGCTCAGAAGGAAGCCCCATTATAACAAATGAGTTTGGCTCTCTGGAAAGCCTGCATAGGATGGCAACTTTGGTTCAGGAATACTTGGGGAGGAAGGGTGTATAAGAAAAAAGTGAGATCCGCACTTGGTGGAGAGGTCTTTCCTTGAAATCTCGGAAGAGGTGCAAAGTTTCTTGGAAAGACTGATTTCCACCCACCAACGTCCACACAAAGAATCCAGCCTTCCAATCACTACTATATTGGCCCGATCCACAAGGCAAGGAAAATAAGCGTGCATGCACAGGAGTTTCTGGAGTTCTTGCAGAGATTACCGTGTTGAATCCAAAATCATCAGTGTTCTCTTGACCTGGCTGGCAGACCTGGGTACAAGTTTGGAATTCTTTTTCTCTGCGCTTGTCTGGCTTACCCTTCTACCCACCCCTCCTGTAAATCGTGGTCCACGCTGGGGTGGGGGGACCCTACTAACATTCCCCACCCACTTCCCCACTGCTGGCCTCCTCTCGGCGGCCGGAGATTTCCTGCCAGATAAAGAAAAGTAGAGGGGAGAGGGGCACCCGGCCTGAACTCGACGTGAAATGGTCTATCCGTCACTGCCTGGAAGGAAGCTCCAGCCTGTGAACTCTTCTTGAACCGAGATTTAAGTCTCTGGTCATAAATCAACCAGGACATAAACTCCGGCATTCACCACTGATAGCCGCGTATTTGGGGCTTGCTTACCTTAATTCTGACGACTGAGGCGGAAGCCAGTATTGGTCTTTGGAGGCTAGGCGACAGTCGTTCCCTGCCAGCCCGGGGATCGGGCGCTCTTCCTTTAACCCCTCCGCCCTGACAACTAAATGCCTTCTGCTCCTCCGGGATGGGGAACAGTTGAAGTCACTTCTGCCAGGACGAGCCCAAGAATCAGAACCGGAGGCGCCTGCCTCCACCAGGAAGGGGACACCCAAGAAGGTCTTTCTTCAGCTTGCCTCTGATGGAGTCTCCCCCCCCTTGCCCTGTCCTTACCTCATTCCGGCCCCAACCTCCACGCCCTCCACCTCACCCCTGGGGCCGAGTGAGAGTCGTGCCTCGCTACCCCCGGACAAGTCTCTTCTAGACCGGATCTCTGGGAAAAGGCAGAGGGCTGCCTGTGCAACCTTGCACGCCCAAGGGGGCGTTTGTTGGGAGAAAGGAGGCAGTTGCCTCGGGAAGTCCGGGGCAGGCAGGAGACATTGGGGGGGGGGGAGGGAGAGAGATGGAATGGATGGAGTGAGAAGAAAGAGGCAGTGAAAGAGTGAAGGGCCAGAGAGGCATTAGAGGCCAGGAAAATTATGCTAATCGAGACAAAGGATGTTCACAAAAAGGTCACCGCTCCCCTTTGAGAGAGAGAGAGAGGGAGGGAGGGAGAGGGAGAGAGGGAGAAACACACACAAACATAAATTTAACACACCAGTATGGCAACAGTTTGGTGAATAATATAGAGAATTCTCGACAGGTTGGGGGAGACGGAAGGCATAGTTAAAAATCTGTAAGTATGCCACATATAGATAAACATTATCCCCACTTCCATCACACACAATAGTAAGCAGACTTCTGGTCTGCCTCACAATCCAGGGTGATCTCTACAGCGCTTTTAACGGGGAGGATTCAAACAATGTTAGTGACCATCATCAGATGCCCACTTCCCCTCTTCTCCGGTTGTCCTTCCCTTAGGCAAACATTCACATACACATCATCGAGGAAACAGCACAGCCATCAGTTTACAAAACAGCAGTTAATATTTAGGACAGAAGGAGAATCTGGCTCCGTGTTCAGCGGAAATCAGAAATAATGCCTGGATGGATAGCCAGTGAAATAAACTTGCCCGACTCCTTCCATGTCGATGGAACAAAATAATTATCAAGGTTCTAATTCCAAGTAACAGTGACTAAACGCTAAAGCAACCACTAATAAAGGCTAGGTTATAATTGCGAGGCTATATACCATCAGGAATATTTTGGAAGTGCGAATATTTATTTGAAAAGAAGAGGCACAATTTCTTAGTCAGATGAAAGATATCAAGACTTTCTAAAGCAAAGTCGGGTTAAGGACTTAGTTTGCCTCTTATTGCCTACGTCTCTTGTATTTCAAATCGCATTATTTAACAAATACTCACGGCATAAGGTATGCATGCCGGTCAGCACTGCTGTTTGGTAACTTTGGTTTTCCTTTTTCTTCTTTCTCTTTCTCCGCTTCTCTTTCTCTCTCGTTCTTTTCACCTTTCTTTTTTCCACTTCTATTCCCCCTCCTCCTTCCCTTTCTGTACTTTCCAGCCATTCTCTTGTTCAAGTAGTCTGACGTTTAAAATAACATCAGTAAGAAGGGTAGTTTTAAATAACTTTCCTCACCCCCCCCCATTCGCGTGGAAGGGTGGGGGTGGGGTATAAAGAGACCAAAACAGACAAAAAAATAAAAACAACAAAACCCGGGAGGTTTTAAACTGCCTCAGAAAATCAGCCAGTTGGCGCTGGAATAAGAGCTAAGTGCGATTTTGACAGGCCTTCGTTACTAAAGGTGTGGAAAATACAAAGAAGCTTCTTTAAATTGCACTGTCACCTTAAACCCCAAACAAAGCAGAACGGGGGAAAGAAGAGATTTATACATGCACGCACAAACATACACACGTACTTTCAGTTCAGGGTGGCCTCTTACGCATACCAATGGTTTTTGTCATTTATGGCGAGGCAAGATTTATAGCTTCTTGCGCCAAGCTGTAAACAGAGCTACCCAACAAAAAACACTTGCTTCTCAGAGCATATTGCGAGGATTCCACATGAAAGACAGAAATCTGAGCTGCTGCGTAGGAGGTGGGTACGACAGCGGGGACCAAAATTCACCGGTCAGCCGTTTTGCATCCCCGCTTGGCAGTGGCGATGCAAGAAAACGCCGCTTTTGTCAATGATCAGCCCTATAGTTTTCTTCTGAAAAAATGCTGATATGACCTTTTTCTATCTCCCCACCCCCGCCACCTTTTGCCATCCCTCCACAAAAAAGAAAGAAGGCCAATTCTTTTGGTGGAGCTAGCAAAGAAAGTTCTCTCCGGAGAGAATTTGGGGAGAAAACTGGATGTTCAACCCACCAGTTTCTTCCTCTGGAATCAAATATAAGCAGGCAACAGCCAGCTGGGCATTTTGTTCACCTTGCCTGATTCTGGGTATATTTCACTAGCTGCCTGAAGCAGCAAATATTAAAATCCCTCCCCTGAAAGGCAAATAAAGGTTCAAATAGGAAGGATAATTTTCCAATATTCCAATAAAAGTATCAAATTAATAGGTGGCATTGTTCCTTTCGACTTCCATTTATTAGTTTTATGGTTGGTAAAAGCTATCCGTCCTCTTTGTCTCTTTCTTTAGCTCTACTGGACCTTCAGAATTCTGGTTCTTGTTCTGGTTTTGGGTTTCTCCCTCCTTGCTACTATATTTTACAGGTACCTTCGCATTAATGCAATATCCCCTATCTTGTTGCCATGTAAAGAGCCTTTATATTCAAGCTGGACTAACTGGACCTAAAGCAATGTAAATCTAAATGGTTCAAGAGCATCTCATTCTGAAGCAAGGTAGGAATGAGGATTGTTCCTCAAAAACAAAAGCTACCTTGCATTTGCAAAGCAAAGTTTGGAAATAAATGTTTTCTCTCTAAGGAAAAAAACAAACCAAAGTTTCCTTATCAGCTCAGCAAATAGAAAATAGCATACCTTATTAAAAAGTACATGTGGGTGTGTGTAAGAAATAAAATAAACCAAAGCTCTGTAAGTGGGGCAAGAAATTACTGGAAAGAGAAATATGACTCGAGATTTTTAAACTTCAGGTCAGTTAACATTCCAAATCTACCAAATCTTTCCCTGGAAGGAATTATCATTAATTATATGGGACTTGTTTCCTGATATGGGCAGCATTTTAAATCTTTTTCTACCTAGAAAGTAAGAGTTTATCATATCAGCATCATTGATACCTGGATCTCTATTTAATCAACTGTTCTCTTTTAAACTCCAGAACACAAACAAGGTCTCAGGATTGGGATTCATTATTTATGGCTGTTTTAACTGGGTCAAAATCTTCCGGAACTGGGCCATAAATCATACAAAATGATGACAAAATAATTGAGCCAAAATTAACACACTCCCCTTTTTTCGCAGCTGGGTCTGGTCCATGTAAAATCTAATTTTCTTTCCCTTGTCTAAAAAAGCTACTTTTAAATACTATGAATTGTCAAATAATTCTGTTTAATTACACACTAACAGGCAAATACTCAGAGATACATAATAAAGAGTTATGGGTGGTTAATTTTGCATATATACTATAGACCTGCTTGTTTGGCAGATCAGAAAAGGAGAGTTAATTTATACTAACTTACATATGTGTATGCATGTATCTTTCTCTCATATGCATGCATATACAGAGAGATGCAGTCACACATATTTTGCTATTAAATATCCATACCATGTTGGTTAAAAAAAGTTTTATTTTTGATACTTTAAATCTTTATGCATATAAAATCTAACCCTAAGTTGAATAATTGCAACTGCCAATAAAAGGATGAGGAAAGCATACAAGAGTGAAGGCGAGCATGCTGCTCCCAGCCCACTAGCAACATAAATCAACAGTCAGCACTCTGACCTTTGGCAATCCTGGGACTCAGTGGTGGATGCAATTTTATATAACATTTGTCCCCTTGTATAAAGCAAGGAGGGCTTTCATGCCCTCTCCCTGTTCCATTTAGGGGGCAGTTTCTCCCATAATACGAAATGAATAAGTGTTTAGGATTTGGTGATAGCTAATGAAAACCTTTAGGAAAGACAGAGGAAGGCATGCTTCTGCTTTTGCTGCTTTCCAGAATCCTGTTCAAGCATATATGGCCCTGCAAAGAATCTCATTGATTATTACTGTGAGTGGATGGATGAATGCTTTTCTTTCATTCCCAAAGAGAAGAGTGAAGATGCAAATGGAATGGGGGAGTGAGGAACACCTTACTTCCATACTGGATTGGTAAAGGTTTTCCTGGCACAGGCTAGGTGGGATACTGGTAAAAATAATATCACCCATGCATCACAAATAAAATGGCAGCTAAATTGCATATATATCCTATTGAAGGCCCTCCTCCAAAAGAAAGAAAGAAAGAAAGAAAGAAAGAAAGAAAGAAAGAAAGAAAGAAAGAAAGAAAGAAAGAAAGAAAGAAAGAGAAAGCACTTAGTTTCTGGCTATAATCACAGTCTCATGTTATTGCTCAAAACACTCATGAAACTAATAATAATAATAATAATAATAATAATAATAATAATAATAATAATAATAATAATAATAATAATAATAATAATAATAATAATAATAATAATAATAATAATAATAATACAAGCAACATTAAAACAAGCCTCTCTTCTTCCTCCATATTTTGAGTTTTAAAAATAACCTCTATATCATTTAGCAAAAAATAAAAACAAAAAGACCCAGTCTGGAACAATACGCAGGAATCGTAACCTTTTGAGTAGGGACAGCTCTCTGCTCATTGCAAAGCTCCCTTTCCCAACCTCGCAAGCCCAGCGAAACAAAGAGGAAGGCGAAGTGAACGGCTATCCACAGCCCTCTTAAGCCTTTCCCCCCCGGAATTTTGCTTAGCCCCACTGGAAGTCGCGCGCGCGCCAGGAACAATCAACGGAAATACCTTAAAATAAAATCCATCCTCTCTCTGTCTCCCTGTTTTGTTTTGTTTTTGTTTTGTTTTAACGAAGCATTTCGCCCTAACAGCCGGGCAATAATAACCTTTCCATCAGGATCAAGTGCGGTAGCCCAAACGGAGACTTCCCGAGAGTGATCGTAGCGTTCGAGGGGCGGGGAGGGGGGGACCGGCGATGGATAACAGAAAGCAGTCCTTGCTCTGAACAGAAAGTGGGGAAGCGTAATTGCAGACGAAGCCAGTCCGGGTCTCCACTCCAAATGGCACAATAATGCGCTGTATTATGTGCTCACGTGGTCATACGTCAACTTAAATCCTTTTATTTGAAATCGGGAATCGCTGAAGGAATCAGGGCTGGAAGCGCGAGCCTCTGGTGTATGTGTGTACGCGCGCGCATGTGTGAGTGTGTGTGCGCGCGAGAGAGACGGTGTGTTTGCTTTCCCTTCTTTCCTCTTTAAGCTTTAAGCAAGGGCATTTCAGAAGAGGGAGGGGAAAACCATGAGCTGGAGACGTTTATTATTATCCTCCCAACCCACATATTAAGATTTTTTCCCCCATGTAAGTTTTAGAGGGAAGGTAAGAAGAATTATTTTCACCAAAGGCTAATCAGATGCCCAGTAGAATGAAACCTCTCTGGTGACCCTTCAGAGGTGGGGGGGGGGGGGAAGGAAAGGCACTGGGCACAAAGCAGATGAAGTTCATCTGGATTTCTTCACAGAAGTCCTTCAGACATCCCACATCCCACGGCCTCTTCTGTAAGTCTATTGAGTGGGGCTTGCTCAACACCCACACGAAACACCAGAGTTTAAATTACTTGACAAAGGACCTTCTAATAGAAATTACTGGATAGCTGTCCTTGTCCTGTTAATGACCCAGGAGGTGGAGGAGGACAGCAGTTGCCTGCTGGAGGGTAGATCTAAATTTCACCAAAACTTTGGAACCACCCCATTCAACTAGCACTTAGGCATTTCATATGCAAGTACTTGAGTGATGTGCAAAATTATAAGGTTCTATCTAGAGCAATGAAATGTTTAAGGAATAATAATAATAATAATAATAATAATAATAATAATAATAATAATAATAATAATAATAATAATAATATAACTGTCTAAGGACCAAAAAACTTGGAAAACAAAGAGGAAGGACAATAAAAAGACTTTTAAGTGAACTTAAGAAATTGTTTTCTTTTTGCTACTGGACAATTCATTTCCATAGTGTCTTCTAACCTAGAAGGTGTTAAATACTTTTAATAATGAAGAAATAAGCTAGTTCTTCTATCAGGTACACTTTGGTAGTTCTAATGGATAATTTCTACTTACCAAGGCATTTCCTCTCAACTGAACCATGAGAATAAGCTCTTAGCCTTCTGCTTCTTTCAACACTCTGTCAAGCTGTTTCTCCTCTTTCCAGTCCCTCTCTTTGTTATGAATTTAAAATGTGTGAGAAAATGAAATTTACAGTCTCCACCAGTCTCCTCCAACTTATGGTTCAATTGTGAGTAATCCCACAACTTTCTTTAACTTTAAATTAATTTTAAGGGTGCTTGACTAAGAGATTGCTGGATATNGGACACGACATGTTCAGCAACAATGTGGAAGCACATGGATTCAATAATTTTTTTCCCAATTTGTCAGAGAATTCCCCAGTCTAAGATTGGATATTCAGCTTCTCTGACACTAGGAAAGATATAGCAGATAGGCACTTTAATAACATGGGTTTTTCTTCAAAGGAGAACAAAAGTATTGCTAAAACACTGCAATTCTATGCATGTTTATTTGGGAACAAGTTGCATTTACTATTGTGAAATCAGACTTCAGTAAGTTGCAAAAGCATATTGACTGAACTTAATAAAATAATTTTTCTAAAACACATTTTCCTTGGAGGAAATTTTCATGACTTTGTTTTCAGGTAAGTGTGCCTAGAATTAAACCCTCCAAAAAGCAGAACACAACCCTTTGACTGTTGCCTAAGTCTGCTATAAATTATAGTGCATTTGTACAACCTTAAAAGCTAGCATATGCTTTTCTACAGCACAACCATTGTTCAGAATTCTGCTGGCAAAAGCTAATCTGAAACAAGAGCAACTTTCTGCTCTGAAGGGTTTCACAGGTTATTTAAGGCAATGTTTCAGCCCAGTCAAGAGACCCTTTTGAAGCTGTAATTAATGGTTAATGAGAAGAGATGCAGGAAAAAAGTCAACCTT